TTTGCTCTCTTACAGGTAAATCAGGAAAATTTAAACATCCAAGAAAAATGCGAAGATTTGACAAAGGTTTGTGATTAATAATTAAACATCTCTATTTTGATTTACATAGTTTAATACAGATGCAAGTGTACAGTACATATGTGAGCTGTCATGACAAAATAAATCTTGTGGTACAAAAAATAAAAAATTTGTGGCACATTTTCTAGACGAATATTAGATATATTTTGTTTTGGTCTTTGAATTATGTTTCTACAGCAGGTTGAGTAAAAACATTTTTAAGCTGAGATGTCTAAAACCATCACCTCTTAAGATAACAACAACAACTAATACCATTATCATTAATAAATTTTGTGTTGGTTTTTCCTATCAATTCTGAAAAATAGCTTTTCAAAATGTGCCTCAAAACCATTATCTTAGGTAAATCAGTTCAGAACTTTTGCTGCTATTAAATATACAGTATATATTGAACTTATCAGAAACAATTAAAAAAAATTCAAATTTTGTCAAAACATCACTTCTTCAATATAACAAATTAGCTAGCATACCACAAGACTCATTTTGTAAACAACACCTCACATATTCTTTACATAATGTTAAGGTAGTGGAGTATATGGTCTACTGCAGGTATGCTGCTAATGCACATAATTATTGTCAATTTTAATTTCCTCAATAGGGTTTGGAGAAGCATCAACATCAAAAAGACCAAAGTTAGACAAAGGTACGTACTGGGTGCTGAATAATTGCTGATTATATTTAGTGAATATCTGTAATTGTAATAACTATATACAGTACAGTAATTCACCTGATATTTATTATAAATTTAAGTTATTCACAAGTATTTTGAAGTTCAATTTATATTTATTTGTAAAGAATACATTCCTGGCACAAATTTAAAAAATACAAAGACCAAACAAAGAATTATTCAAATCATTTTTTTTTTGGTTGGCTATGACTGTAGTACTGTTTTATTGGTAATAAACCAAGCACAATTTGATGTAAACTTAATTGAGACTTGCAAGCTTTCACTATGTACAAGCTTTCGCTATGTAGACGCCCTAAACTAAATTTGTGATGACGTACCAGCTACAGTGCTACATCTAAGCTTAGCGATTGGCTATTGTAATGCATAGAATTAGGACAATTCCAGATGAGTTCTATGTGTTATTACTATCGTTGTACAGGTATTAGTATAATATTGAATTGCCCATGTACAGTAGGCAAATATTGTAACAGACCTAGATGAAGAAGATACTGAACTTCAGAGAGTGGAAAAAAATGTGAATTATATGCATGATGGCTGTACAGCTTAGCTTTCCATCTGCCTGTTGATACACGGAAAAGTTTACTGTTTTACTATTATTAATATCAAGCATTTACAGCCAAATTATGGGTATTTGAAATGCTGGAAATGACTATATATTGCACACCATTGTTTTGCTCTCTTACAGGTAAATCAGGAAAATTTAAACATCCAAGAAAAATGCGAAGATTTAACAAAGGTTTGTGATTAATAATTAAACATCTCTATTTTGATTTACATAGTTTAATACAGATGCAATAGTTTAATACAGATGCAAGTGTACATATGTGAGCTGTCATGACAAAATGAATCTTCTGGTATAAAAAAATGAAAATTTGTGGCACATTTTATAGACGAATATAAGATTTTTTTTTTTTGGTCTTTGAATTATGTTTCTACAGTAGGTTGAGTAAAATCATTTTTAAGCTGAGATGCCTTAAACTATCACCTCTTAAGATAACAACAACAACTAATAAATTTTGTGTTGGTTTTCCCATCAATTCTGAAAAATAGCTTTTCAAAATATGCCTCAAAACCATTACCTTGGTTAAATTAATTCAGAACTTTTGCTGCTATTAAATATACAGTACAGTATATATTAAACTTATCAGAAACAATTTTAAAAATTCAAATTTTGTCAAAACATCACTTCTTCAATAATATCAAATTAGCTAGCGTACCACAAGACCCATTTTGTAAACAAACCTCACATATTCTAATGCACATAATTATTGTTTCCTCAATAGGTATTGGCGAAGCATCAATATCGAAACAACCAAAGTTAGACAAAGGTATGTACTGGTTGCTTAATAATTGCTTGATATTTTTAGTCAATATCTGTAATGATGTAAATGTATAATCAATGAATGGATATTAGTCGGTATAATTCATCTGATAAAATGTATTTGTGATTTATACTCAATTTTGAGTTACTCCAAATAATGTTTTATAATGTATGTTATTTACAAAAAGTATTTCTAGAAATCAGCATATATATAATAATAATAGTAATAATAATAATAATAATGATAATACATCAAAAAGTAATTTAATTTAATGTTTGTTTTATACATCACTGTTATTATAGGCTTGCTCGTTTCTCTAATATGCAAGCTTGGACATCAGTGTGGGGTAGGGGGGAGGTGATGATATCTGGGTGATTATAATTATTGATAAAGTAAACAATATCTTTATAAATAGTTCCTATCAATTAAACCCACTACATTGATCGTTTGAAACATCCAAATTAATATCATAATTTAATCTAAAAATCAAAAATTTATATTTTTAGGCGTCACTGTTTATAAAAATATGGATTATAAAAAATAATTGAACTCAAAATGAATATATCTCTTACTAATGTTTTGGTCATAATGCCCAATGATACATTTTCTTTACAGACAAGTCAGAACAATCAGTACAACCACAAAGGTCAAGGGCAGATGAAGGTGTGTTTATTTAATAGCAGATTATATTGAAATTTTAAGTACATTCTAACAAGAACTAAATTATTCATAGACAAGTTATAGAGTAGTTACATATTGCACACTGCAAAGTAGTTAAGTAGCACGCTTCACAATACCGGTACTGTTACAAATGTACAGTAGATGACAAGTGTATAAATTAATTCGTATGTTAAAATTGGCATTAGCCTATCAATCAAATTAACATATTGCAACTGAATGTTTAAATCATTAAAATTATACAATATTTGATCTTCAGTTGCATCATAATTTGAGTGGGAGGCAGTGGACAGCGGGGCCCAAAGCATCAGGTGTCTGTTAGCATATTTCTAATTAAAAGAAAATTGTGTTCCCAGTCAACAATGGGAATTCTTAACACAGGTGATCCAACAAAATTTGCAATTCAAAAATACCCAGATCACCAGATCACAAGTGGGCTTCCTCTTCTTCATCTCCCATATCCATTTCTGGACCTCTGACTAGGGCCAAGTATACCCTAGCCCTACTATAGCACAAGGTTGCTCAATTTACTCAGAATTACAACAGGCTTGTATAGGGCTAACATTCTCCTAGCCTAGAACCCCGACTCATGCATGATGTCACTGTTCTTGGTGCCGCCATCAACACCCCCCTTCCCCTGCTTGTTCTCTCGCACCTTGCATTATCCACGCCTCCCCCCCCCCATTGCTAAATCCTAGGATGCACAACCTACTCTTGCCTGAAGCTGCATTGGTCCAGTATTTGAATGTACATGGAACACCACTATGAGTTTAAGCTGCTGTATGTGGTTTAAAAATAAATTAAAAATCAAAGTAAATATTTATTATATTGATACTAATGATGAGGGTAATGATAAAGCTTAGGGTGGTGGGAATGAGGAAGAAAGAACAAGTAAATGATTAAAGCTACAAAAATATTTCTGCAATCATTATGAAAATGATAATACTAGGAATAGGTTCAGAGAAGGACAATTAAAGGAGGTCTACACCACCTCAGCCCCATCATGGTTGGAGGAAGACACACTACATTTTATGGCACATATAGTTGGCCTGGAATGGCAATCTCAGACTTTAATTTTCAATATTTTCAATATAATTTTTTTAATAAATATTTTTTTCTTCAACTTTTTAATTTTAAAAAGAATAGAGACCTCAGGTAGGCTTCCCTCACCCCCACCCCCTTTCTCAATTGAATAATTTGTTTGTTTATTTATCTAGATAAAAATTCTGGATTTGTATCAGAAAATGGTATTGAAGTCATTGAACTAAATGATGTAAGGTAGAAGTGTAACAGGAACTTAATTATATAAATAATAGCTATCGGTTAATTTCCCATTGATTTATAATCAGGCGGTACTGGGGTGGGACAACTAGATTTCCTGCTCCACAAGAAGTCATCCATTCATAAGAACCTTTAAGAAGAAAGCCTACCTAAAATGGCCTAGATTGGCACAAAACCAGCTAACTCTGGTTTTGAATATAGGATGATTGAAACATTAATATAGTATACAATGTATGCAGTGTTCCTTGAAAGTTTATATTAAGTATATGTTAGTAATAATAATGTAGGTTATATTATTATTATTTGTTTTGAACTATTTCAGATATAATTATCAAAAGTTCCCTGATGACAAGGCAGAAAGAAGTGTATCGGAATGTGAATAGAATGACACCAACAATTTGGCATAAATTTCATGATTTAGATATTGCAGATGTTTTTACTGAACTCAGCTTACTGCAGTCTAAAAAAGAAGACAAAGAAAAACAAGACAAGTCAACATGCACAAAAAAAGAAGGTAGACCCACATCATTAACAGAGGCATTAGAGGTTATTAAGTCAACAGATTCTTGTAAGGTATTAATAACAGGGGAGGGGGGAATGGGTAAGACTACCCTCCTTAAATATATTGCTCATCAGTGGGCTACTGATGATGAACATGTCTTTGCTGATAAATTACTGTTTCTGATAAATATCAGGGAAATTAAAGAAGGTAAATCATTCTTGGAGTTAATTATGGATGAAATTGATTCAAAAGAAATAATTTATAAGAACAATTTGTCATGTGACTCATTTAACCCAGTTGAAAGGTTCTTGGTCACACATGACGATGAAATAATATTTTTGTTAGATGGGTATGATGAGTTAGAAAGAAATGCTAAAGACCCAATTGATCTATTTAAAAAAAGAGAATTGCGAAAAAGCATGGTAGTGATAACATCTCGACCTGACAACACAGCTGATTTGATTAAATACTGTGATGTACATATTGAAGTGAAGGGATTCAGTCAAAGTAACATAAAGAAGTATATTCAAAAATTTTTTCGTTCAATCAGTGAAATCGAAGTTGGTAAATCTTTAATGAAAGAGTTTGGACTTGATTCAGAGAGTACAAATTGGGGTGGTAATCACAAAGAAGCATTTGAATTGTGCTCCTCTCCACTGTTATTGCTTCACATTTGTACCATATGGGAAGAAAAACGTGTCCTTCCCACATACTTGCCCGATCTTTTTAAGGAGCTCATTTGTTGTATTTTAAATCAGTATCTAATCAGGGATGGCATAGAATCGGTAATTGCCAATTTTGAGAGAATTCCAGATCAATACATGTCTGCCATTTTAATTTTAGGAGAGTGTATGTATGAAGGACTAAAGGAAAATACACTGTCTATTGACAAATTTGTTTTGTCAAATATGGCAAAGGATAAAGAATTATCAAATTTAGCACTGGAACTTGGGTTTGTTTATAATGATACCCCTGCTAATCCAGGGAAAGTAAAGGAGATGTACACACCCCCACATAAATTAATTTCAGAGGCACTAGCAGGGCTGTACCTGTCTACAGAAATTCAGAAAGGGAGTTCAAAGGTTGAGTATGAGGAAATCAGATGTAATGCTTATTTGAATATGACAAGGATGTTTGCAATAGGATTTTTAGGTGCTGATGCTGATAAGTTGCTGAAACCATGGTTGATAATGAGGGTCTCATATTATCGCTCAATATTACAATGTTTTGCACATGTAAAGAAAGAGCATCAAGATGAAATTCTAAGGGAATTAGATAAGCACATGTCCCACGATATGAAAGCACATAGTAAGCAAATGTTTGAGTCATTTAAAAGTCTTATAAATGATGGCAGAGACATATCAAGTATGCATTTATTCAAACTCATGGAAAGATGTTGCATTGAAAATGATCCTTGCAAACTTGAAAAAGAAGCAGTATCTTTGATAAGTAGGTGCAGGGAAATAAGGCAGTGCCAAGTTGTTGTACATACCTTAGTGTTATTACAAGTAATAGATGAGCAACATGAACCAGACTGTCTATTTAAATGTATTTCAACATGGAAAAATGAAGAAATCTATTTACTTTCAGCTGAGATGAAAACAAATCATTTTATATATACTTTGACTTCCATTAAGTTTGATTTTCAACTGAGTTCAGCATTCTTAATTCATTTCCTTAAATATGCAAGTAACTTAGTGAGCTTGCGATTATGGAGTCACAATATCCAATATCCTAGTCACAAGTTGGTCACAGGTACTATACTCAATGCAGTTATTAATGATTTGGACAATGCCAATATAAAGTTAGAATTAGAAAAACTTGATATTAGTGGCAATGATCTAAATGATATTGATGGAACATTACTGGGAAAATTATTTAAAATAGCTCCTAAATTAAAATGGCTAAAAGTAAGGGAGTGTAGGCTATCAGGTGGTACTTTGGGGGCAATGATCACAGAATGCCAGAACAGTGACACAGGTGCTATACACAATGCAGTTATTAATGATTTGGACAATGCTAGTATAAAGTTAGAATTAGAAACACTTGATATTAGTGGCAATGATCTAAATGATATTGATGGAACATTACTGGGAAAATTATTTAAAATAGCTCCTAAATTAAAATGTCTAGATTTAAGAAGGTGTGGGCTATCAGGTGGTACTTTGAGGTCAATAATCACAGAATGCCAGAACAGTGAAGATACACTAGACCATGTTTTGAAATACTACAAGCTTGCACTTGATGATACACCATTTCTTGGTTTATTAAGGGTACATAATAATGTGTATTATCATTTGGATTGGTATCCTGGTAATACAATTTTGATTAGCAGTAATTATTCTATTACTTTTGATAACATAGAAAAGCTTGTTGAATTAGTAGGTGAATATACAACATTGGGTTGGGAAAGTATAGATCTGAGTAGGATTAACCTGTCTTCAATAAGTGCAATAACATTAGCTCGCCTATTTAAGATCTGCCCAATGCTGGGCCATATTGACATGAGTTACTGCAGTTTGTCAGTCAGTATTGTTAA